TCTTCAATTTTACATTGGAAACCACCCTCAAAGTTTGAAATCGAAGCATTATTTCGACTATTTTTTTTTTATAGTTATGCTGTACACAGACACAAAAACAAAAAAAACACATCATCGTAAAATCAATACATTCATCACTTCGTTCAGAATCTAATACATATTCATTGTCATGGTAATTATAATATAATATCGATTATTTTTCACAATAATGTATAACGTAATGTCATTCATATTATAATTAATATATGTCTGTTTATGTATAAATATAATACCTATTCATATATCTATATGGATGTTACAGATTAGGCGATGACTGCAGTWATTATATAAAATACATTTTCATATGAATATATTTATAGAACATATATTATAATCTGTCATAACGATGCACATTTTTTAGTTATTATAACTTAAAATTAATTACGTACTTATGTTTACTGAATAAGTTACTAAAATGTTATAACATTTTACAACTAAAAACTATACAGTTTAAAGCTACTCTCTTTAAACGCTGTGTAATATTTATACACATAATATAAAATATATAGCGTATATAATTTATAAGTTATATATATAATAAGTTTGAATAATATTGTGTACGGACGAATGGAAAACTATGATGTTTATTAAAATAGAGAGTAATAAAAGTTTAGTAATAAATTTATGCGTGAAAATAGTGAGTATAAAAAATAATGAATATTTTTTTTCCTCTTTTTTTTAAATCTYTTTTTTTCGATTTGGTAAATTCATAAAAATGTATTAGTCATCTAAAGATTCGAATTATTAGTAATWTGTATTTTTAATTGCTCGCAAAAAAATGTTTAAACAAAAACCCCTGTCATAAAAATCAATATCATTCAAATAGTATTTATTTGACATTTAAAACTAATGAATTGGTTGAATAAAAATAGTTATAAATAAGTCAAAGTGYAAAGTATACACCTGTCACCTATTTAACTAAATGGGCGTTGAYTGGAACGTGCGTGATTTATATAATGCTTATGGAATATAGATTAATGAAATTTACAATAGTACAATATTGTACAAATATGATTGTTTACTCTGTTCAAAATATATCTTAAAATTAATKGTCCGAATACGATAATTTGCAAAACGCACGTACGTGTGAGGTGCTCAATGTATACCAACATGTTTATTTATAATATCCAATAATGCTATGAAACGTTGTTTATTTTGAAGTCCATGGTGATTATATTTGATAAGTCCAGGAAATATTACTTTTTACTCGTATTTAACCTCAAAACTAAACATATTAGTGGTATCAACTATTATTTATAATGTATATACGTTCCATCCAAAATATATCTCTAAAATATAATCCAACAACACCGCTTTCGGAGAAGTAGCTTGGAAATATATTAAAGCTTACTCACACATTTTGTATTCTACCTATCGTCGATCAACGGATATATGCTGCTGCAGYGATTGTTGTCATTTAACTTATTATTTTTATTTTCCATAAAGTRTGATTCAACGAACATTATATATATTGTATCAGAGAAAAAAAAATTCAATATACCTAACAGATAAGCGGTTACAAAAAATATAAAATTCACGATGAGCTGCCACAAACGAAAAAGTACACAAAATGCCTAAAAAATAATACGACGAATTCGCGTGTCTATGTATCTATACGTATGTATAACAGGATACGCGTGTTCACGCCGACCATATTGTTATTATTATTACACATTTTACTTACTGTGGTCCAGTCGTATTACGAATTCGACTTAATAACATGCATGTGTGAATTATAGAGTTTAATAAGGATACAGGCACTTTGAATAATTTAAAGTCGAGAGTCGTCTTTATATATTAGTATTAGCGTAGACGTACTTTTTGTCTTCTTGTCTCAGTGCCGTAGCGAGATGTAGTGTGGAATAGTGTTCCATTCGTACTACTCATTGGTTTGAAGATTCATTATCCGTTCAAAATGTTAATTCATGAAATGCTTGTAAACATATTATATCCTACCTAATAGAATTAGAATAAACGTTAGGTATTAMAACATGC